GACATAAAAAAATGCTCTGGTGCAGACCTTGCTAATCCATCCTTTCAGCCGGCGTTCATTGAAGGCTGTCAGAACGGCGGCCGAAAGAGTCAGATCCTTTGTGCAGGCACTGACAGATCAGCTATGCGGTCTGCATTCGACAGAGATGCAGACCAAGTGGCTGCTCCTGCAAGTCAGGTTCGTGGTCTGCGACTGTGTGCCTGACTTGTCAGATGGCTGCAGGCCACATAGTACTGGTTCGCGGGCTTGTACTTTGAGACCCTTGCCTTAGAGACTTGACATGTCAGTCAAAATTTAGTTTGATTTAGACATTCAGCTTTGGATAGGAATGAAGTTTGCTGAGCAAAAACCACATTCACTGTTAGAATTTCATTTGTGTGAGGAAATTCTTCTATCCTGCTCCTTTTAAAAAAAAAAAAAAAAAATATTTCATCAGTATAGTTGAAAACAATTGTCTGTTTGACCCCAATAACTAGTAGAAAATCGAACAAATGTTCCGAAAACAAAATTCTGCTGGTGCATGGATTGCGTTAGTGGCGCCAGTATGCAAATATTAATGTACTTATGAAAAGTTGGTGCTTGACCCAAACCCTTCCCAACGTTCTGTGTTGATCAGTGAGGTAGCTTACCATATGGATGGACTAATGGTGAGCCACAAACAGGACCCAATGTTGTCTGCAACTAGGAAATAATTTTTTGCATACAGAGGATGTGTTGGAGGGAAAAAAATTCCTTATTGGACCAATCCTTGGAATAGAAAATGTACCTGGATTCAGCGAAGATATTCTGCATGTATAACTGCAGTCTGTATGCAAGCCTTTTGTTTTCTCCATGTTCAGTTTTGTCCAGTCCTTTTACCTATTTGCAACTTCCAGCTTAATAGGCCACACCAAAGTATTTGTGAAATTGTTAGATGATTACATTGTGAGCTACCATTGATGCCTGGAGTACTGGGAACAATACCATGTACTCTGTAAAGAGCTGCACAATGCAGAATTGCTTTATAAACTAGTAATAATTATGATTGGCCTAATGTGCCAGTATAAAAGTGTGCCAGCCACAGCAATAGAGTAGATTACGTATAGCCATTTTGAAAAATATTGTTATGGGTTATTATGGACAAATACATGTAGAAATGAGTAGCTAGTAATTTCAGCCTAGGATCTATCAGCCACTTTTTAGGAGCCAACAACCATGTGCTTCTGTTAGCAGCAACAGACATGGCTTAGAAAAGTCATATTTGGCCTTTTGGTTTTAGGTGCATTTGATACCTGTCTTGTGGGATCTTTCCAGCAGTATGACTTCTAAGGATAAAAAAAGCGTTTCAGGAGAATGATGTCATCGGTCTGTTGCAGGCCGGAGGAAACATTTCCTCAGCCTTCCCTCCCCCAGTCACTAAGATGTTTTAATTTTCTGGCTTCTAAGATATGTACAGCAGCAGGGGCTGATTTGTAAGAGACCACTTGTATACACAGACACGGCAACTTAAAAAATATTACGGAGACAGCATGAGTTTCATGAATGTGTCTTCTATCAGCCAGCAACTAGAAGCAGCAGCCAGCATCTAGTCCAAGAAGTAGATGCAGACCCTGGAAGATCCCAGAAAAAGAATGGCCGCCTGAGAAGAAAGGATGATAAATGTGTTTTCAGGAGGAGTTCTTTTATCTCTTTAAGAGGTTATAAAGACCTGTGGTAAATGTATTAGTTTGCATGCATGCACTAGGAGCGGACAGATTAATATGGAATTCAGGAGCCATTCTGTCCAATTCAGGAGCCAGCAGGATTTTTTTTAGAAGCCAGCTCCATTGTCAACTGTTATAGAAAACCTCAAACGTTGGGTGCCAGCTGTACTTGTTAAGAAGCATTGGTTATCAGAGCTGCAGCTAACGATCATTTTTAAAATCGATTAGTTAGCCGATTATTAAGTTCGATTAATCGTTTAATCGGATAAAAAAAATCAAATAAATATTAAAAAATGGCTCCAGTGATGGACTACTAGTTTGTATTGAGAGTGTAGTCCATCACAGGAGCAAGCTTGGAGCGGTGGAAGTAAAAAAGAAAACAAAAGTGTGGTGTGCAATATAGTGAATGAAAAGTGTAAAATTATACAGCAATGAATGCAGATTGGCACCGGCTATAGAGGACTACAAATCCCAGCAATAGTACATTATACAGCACAATGCAGAATACCATCAGCTATAGAGGAATACAACAAATCCCAGCAATAGTACATTATAGCTGGTGGTATTCCGCATTGCGCTGTGTAATGCATTATTGCTGGGATTTGTAGTCCTCTATACAGCGCAATGCAGAATACCAGCTATAGAGGAGTACAACAAATCCCAGCAATAGTACACTATATACATAAAGTGTGTAATGTATTGCTGCATTTGTATTCCTATGTATAATATACAGCACAATGTACTATCAGCTATAGAAGAATACTAATCTCAGCAATACATTATAGAGCACCATATGTGGGAAAGTGCAGGCTTACCTGAGCAGTCTTCCAGCAACTTGCTTCTGAGATCGGACCTGTCTATCGGCGGCTGTCATCCCCCCACACCTGCTCCTCCTTACTACTTCTCCCCGTGTCCCTTTGCCGATTATGGATGTGGGTGGGCGGTGAACGTGAGACGGGGAGGAGATGCGGCGTGTGGAGCGTGGATGGGGGCGGGTCTGGCAGCGGCGAACGTGAGATGGGGAGGAGGTGCGGCGCGCAGCGTGTGTGGAGCCGTGAACAGAGCCAACCAATCGGAAGACGATTAATCGATGATTGAAAAAGTTGACAACTTTTTCAATCATCGATTAGTTGTTGCAGCCCTAGTTACCCGGTGTTTTATAACAGCCCGTATATATAACAGGTTCCCTTAGATTTGCCTTCTACAACTGTAAAGGTTTATTGTACAAGCCTTAGGCCCCATTCACACGTAGCGATTTCCGCCGCGATATCGTGCATTTTTGCCGCGCGATATCGCGAGAAGTCGCCGGCTAATGTTATTCAATGGAGCTGTCTTAGCTCCATGTCTCGCGGTCGCAAGTCGCTTCTACAGGACCTTTTTTTCGGCGGATTTTGCTTTTTTCTAATGGAGCCCGACGGAGAAGGTCGCGCTACCGTCGCTGGAACGTCGCCCCGAAAGTCGCGCTATCCCGGCCGCTGCAAAAGGTATGTCACTACGTGTGAATGGGGCCTTAGTTATATTTAGTTCACCTGACACAGCAGTAACAAAAGTGTAAAATAAGACTTTCACATCAAGGTATAAAATCCCCCCCTTAACCACTTGCTGACACCCCCTTCCTGTCAGGCCATTTTTCAGTATTTAGTGCTGCGGTACTTTGACTGACATTTATTCCGTCATACAACGCTGTACTGAAATTAATTTTATACCATTTTTTAGGGGGGCAGATGGAGCTATTTTTTGGGGGGGGGGGGGTATTTAATCACCACTGAGGGGTTTATTTTTTACTATAAAACAAAAAAAAGTTCAGAAAATTATTAAAACGGTTTTCCCTTTATTATGTTAGGAAACATTTATTATTGCCCAAATTTTTGGTAAAATATGAAAGACGGGGTCACGTCGGGTAAATAGACATCAAACGTGAAGCCTTAAAATTGCGCGCGCCCGCAAATTCACAAAAAACGACCACACCCAAAATTGGCCATAGGTGACGCTTGAAAAGATTTTACCGCTCATAAGTTTAGTGTTATCAGTGATTGATGGCGCTAGAATTATTGCTCTCACTCCCAACGTTCGCAGTGATATGTAACCAGTACTGTGTAATGGGCGCAATCTGCGTTTTTGCGTGTAGGCGCACCTAACGCATTTTCGTGCATCTATGTGGGGGACTTCAAAAAAATTTTGTGGGGGTTTTTTTGTGTGTAAATTTTACTTATTTTGTGACCAATTTTTTTTTTTACACTTTATCACGTAGGGGAATAAGAATCCCCCTATGTGATATCAAATTACAGTGACAGGTCCCCTTTATGGAGACATCAGGGGTCTCTAAGACCCCTAATGTGACCCAGGGACCCCCAGAGAGGCTGATGAAGCACAGATCTGCTTCACCAGCTTCTCGTCGGCTTCTGTACTGGAGAGTGACAGCTAAATGTGGAAGTGAAGTAATAAACATCACTTCCTGCATTCAGAGACCAGGGAGGAGAGCGGAGGGAGATCGTGTACTGATTTTCCTCCGCACAGAGACATGCAGCATACGAGCGATCGGGCATCTTTACAGATGCCGGACTACTTGTAGGTAAACAGCCATTGCTGGCTGTTTAAAATTCTGGCGGTCTCCCGCTCGTGCGCGAGCACGAAGGACGTCTAAAGAGGCCCACCCGCATTCAGAAGACTCCCGTCCATTCATTTCTGAACGATCAGAGGACGGGAAGTGGTTTCTATAGAGAATAAGGGCATACCAGAAGTAGACCTGTCCTCTGCATTACATATTAAAGGAGACTTGGTCACATGTCTTTGCTCCATTCCACAAATACAGCTAACTCAACTTGTGAAAAATATGACTCTGACCTCCAGCTGCCAGTTACGTGACTAGTGTTTTAGTATTGGTAACCTGGCCTCCTGGCTTTGCCTGAATGGTCCTCATGCCCTTTTGGCAGACACCATGTGGGCAATGCATTGGTTATGTGACAAGCCTCCAGAGGGAAGTAGGAAAATATATCACCAGCACACCGTGGTCAAATCTTCAGAAAGTGATAATTTTATTGATACACATACATCTTGTCACATTGCATCGTTTCGGGGTCCCTTCCTCAGGCATGACCATGCATGACTGCAAAGGAAGAGACCGTGTGGCCCCGAAACGTTGCAATGTGACAAGATGTGTGTGTATCAATAAAATGATCACTTTCTGAAGATTTGACCACGGTGTGCTGGTGATATATTTTCCTACTTGGATTTGAAACTGCTCCATCTGCAATCACCACAGCACTCACCGCAAGGGACATACCAGTAAGGAGTGCGGTAGGATTCTCCAGTAGGCCTCCAGAGGGAGCTTCAGATCCCCCAAGTCCAGAAAAGTCATGATTTTTTTTTTTTTTTTTTAACCTAATTTTCTTTTTATTGGTACAGTAAACTCTGTTACCCGGTATTCAACTAACCAGAACTCTCATCTAACCAGCAAAAAAAAATCCCCTGTGTACTCACTGTTTTGCTGAACTGCGGCATGTATTATCCTGGAAATTATTGTGTGCCTATTTGTCTTAATTTGCTTTTGATTACTGCATTTCAATATTAATATGAAGTCAATACATAGTTTATGTGATGGTATGGTATAGTATGGGGTATGGCATTAGTTAGATCTGTTTTTAATAGCAACTCTCAAGCAACCAGAAACGACATTTATCTGGAATCTACCAATTCCCTTGGCCTTGCCAGATAAGGGGCAGTTTACTGTATAACAGAGCAACAATATTAGACCAGCTGACATGACTAGTGAGTCGAATTCTACTTTAAGCCTGTCTGACGAGATCAATGCCAGTATATACGGAGTATGAATAGCATATTTACTGACAAAGAACAGGCTCGTTGCGCTTCTGAGAAGCTTGGCTGATTGGAAAGAACTTACTGCAGCATTCTGCACTCCTGCTTGGTTTTCAATGGTTACATTTTAATGAATTGCTTTTTCTGTGATATTTTATACACTACACAGGGGGGATTATAATTCTGAAAGCTATTTATATGCAGCAGATTTATGTTTGATATGGATAGTTGTATTAGTAGTGCATGTTTAGTACTGCGTGATAGGTAGTGTAACAAATGGGAATAGATCTGCATATGCAGAAAGTTTGCAGTATAAAGCTAGAAACAAAGTCGTGACCGAGACCTGAGTAATAGGCACCACCCCCTGAGAAATTAATACAAAACAAATAGCATAGATGGGGGTTTTTAGGCACCAATTGACAAATCCAAACATCCACCTTGTATAAAATTCTTTTTATTTGTTTTCCAATTTAAAAAATTCATATACTGTTAGCTAAAATCAAACCTCCAACATGATACCTCCTTTGACATCACTCGACTCCATTTAACATCAAAGCAAGTGATACATAGTTATGATAATCAATATTGCACATGTCCCTAGAAGCAGAGGTAGTGAACCTGGGTCGTAACAACAGTTACCAAAAGGAGACAACAAACAATACATAGAAATTAAATCAAGAAGGTTCTCAAATTTGTAGATCAAACCAGCCCTTGCTATTGAAATGGAGGAGTCATGTGAAAGCGCAACGCGTTTCACGCTTGCCAGCGCTTCCTCCAGTAGATGGAGGAAATCTAGGTAATCAGAGAGGTCAATAAGTATATTTAAATTTAAAAGTCAATCAGTTGCATGAAAATGAATGACCAGGTGAAAGTATCGCCTACCAATTATACAGGTATAGCATGTGCATCCAGCCAGACCAGATCGGGCGGTACCCAAAATCTAGGGAAAAAAACGGGTAGAGATCGGTACCCCAAAAGCGATGGAGATGGGAGCCGTAACAATAGTAGGCTCCCATACACTTAACATTTTTTCCATCGCTGCAGCTTAGCCCCTTGCTGGCTGGTCCCCTACCATACCCTTATAACGCCCATTCTTTTCTGGATCCTGAAAGGACCCTGCCGCTGGACAGCCAATAGGAGGTGTTCACGTCACACAGGCTGTGATGTGGACATCCAAAGAAGCACCCTGCCAAAAGGAAACGAGAAGATGATCGCATGTCTGTAGCTTTTGGTAAATAAAATGGGCATTTAAATGGGGTAGTGGGGTGGGAGCTTAGTTTTTAGTTCTTTCCATACTAATTAGTGGTCACTAAAGGGAAAGTGGCATTCTAAAACTGGGGCAAGAAATGCCAGTGCTTTTGGAGAGTGTCTTTGATTAGATGGCATGATTGATCTTTCAAAAGAACAGGAATGTTTGTAAAAAGGGGGAATATCCATAAACGTTCCAGGGGGTAGAGTGAAAAGAGACTCTGTAGAATATGTAATGGAAGCATTAACAGGTACAGCTATAAGGTGTAGCTGGAAAATGTAGCCATCAAGAACTCTTCTCTGACCTGTGGTCTTTTACAGGTACCTTTTTAATTAGGACAATTTCTCTCTATAGTGGCACTAACGATGCAGCATGAAGCAAAAATCACAACGATAAACATACGTGTATACATAAATTGACAAAATCATAGATTGCCTCGATATGCACAATCTGAGGACACCTCTCCCCTTAAAAAGTACATAGAACCCAAGAGAAGTTTGGGGTTTAATGAGAAGTCATAGTCATTGCATAAGTCAAATCTAAAACCTAATTTATTTGACATATATACATAAATAAGATGAAAATGATTATCAGACATAAATTCCCCAATGTATTGGTTACATATGCTGCCAAAAGATGGATGGCTTGTGTATCCGGTGTTGGTCCCAGTCCCAATACGCGTATACATAACCAAACACTATTCCATGTGCAAGACCTGGAAAAGATATGTACATTGCAGCCCGTTGAATTTAAGTCCAGAATGAATGGTTTTAATAGGATTGAATTCTTCCACCAGGTAGCAGAATTGCTGTGAAAAGGAGAGAAGGTAGACTGTGAAATAAAATGGGGGATTCATGGTTTTAATAGTCACAGCCTTGCCATGTTTCTATAGTAGCTTTCTCCCTCCCTCCTGTGAGGTAGCACGATAGATGGGGAATGCAGAGGAAGGCTTAAACCCGAACTGAAGAGATTGTCCAAGCTAAGGGAAGTGACAATAAAATCTAACTATGTAGGTAGAATTCTTGGAAGGTAGACTAAACCCTCAGAGGTGGCATTAAATATGTGCCTGTGTTTAAATGCACAATTACAGAACCTTTAGGAGCCTAATTAAAAATGGCTGAGGTGATTAACTCCCCTGGTGCCTGACTGTAAGTATTGCTGACTTACCAATTCTAGTTAACAGTCCAGCATTAGAGTAATAGCATTTGAATGCCCTCAAGGACCAGCACTGTATTTCTATCTCTCAATTGAATTTTTTATAACTTATGTTACCCGTTGCTATGGTAGGAGCAGGTGACTGGTAAATCTGTAAGGCTGAGCATTAGGGCCTGGCGGTTCAGTCATTGCACAAACTGGGGTTAGTAAAAGGAAAAGAATTGTAACTTGGTTCTATACTTGATTACTAAAACAAGCGTGGAGCACAGCCTGAACCAGAGCAGAGGCTGGGAGACTTGCTACGAATATTGAGCCTTATAATTGGAAATATCTGTAAGATCTGCTTCATTGACCAATTTATTGCTTTAATGTTTCTAGGAGAGTAGAAAATAACAGGAAGAAGTATAATTGCTGTGGGTGCCAGTTCTGTAAGGTACATTTAGTAATGAGGCCCATTGAGCTTCCTTTGTAAAATCTGCAAAGGAAAGGTGCCTATATTGCACATAATAGCCAGCCTGGGACTGGTCACAGATATGCCACCTGTGACAGTGAGGGCCTTTTTCACCTCTGTCGGCACCCCTCATTTCTGGCCCAGTCAGTTTGCAGCAGGAGTGTTCCCCCACCCTGCAGCTTTACATCACAAAGGAGTAGGGAATACCACCTCTGTCGCAACCGCCGCCACTGATTGGGTTGAGTTGAGAGGGGTGGGTCACAGTTTTCAGGGGATTTGGGTGAATTCGTTTCACAACAAGCCCAAGTTCATCACTAATTAGGTTGAAAAACAGAACATAATAAACTACAAAACCAAGACACACCTAAAAATAAAAGCATCTTGCATCCTTAGAACCCTAAACCTGCAGTTGATTCAGAGGAAGAAAAATACCCCTTTAAATCTCTGTCCAATTTGATCTAATTAGGAACAATGTTTTGTGATGCAGGGGAAGGAAAAGACCCTTATCAAAGGAAAACGATGGGGTCAGTGCTTCTCCCCATAGTTCCCTTAAGGGTAACGGGAGGGCACAAACTAGCTTCCTCCCGTCACCCAAAGCTCAGTATACCGCGAGCTAAGCTCACCGTATACTGAGACGCCGCAGCCGTGATGGATCCCGACAATACTGTCTGGATCCACCCAGCTGCGTGAGTGACAGCTGGCTCTGCCTATCTATTATTATGATTATTCAGGATTTACATAGCGCCAACAGTTTGTGCAGCGCTTCACAATATAAGGAAGACATTACAATCACAATTCAAGACAAGGTGGTAAGGAGGGTCCTGTCCATGAGGGCTTACAATCTAAAAGGGAGGGGCAAGTGATACATGAGGAGGTGGCTGTGTGTGGATGAATTCTAGAGGCAGAGCCAGCTCTACCCGCCCCCTTCCCTTGTCCGTTTCGCCAGTCAGCGCTGGAAGATCGGACAGGGGAGGGGTGGAATCCCTGCAGGGAGACGTGAGTGACAGTCACGGCTCTCTGCAGGCACATGATCGAGAAGTGAGTGAGCGAGCGCCGCTATGTGTTCTCTCACTTCCCGATCTATTTAGCCGACCTGTGACAGTTTCATTGTCACATGTCGGCGCAAACTATGAGGCTGAGTGATTTTCACTCACCTCATAGTTCTCCTTTTAAAGCACTGTTGAATTTGATGTAACTAGGAAGAAACCCCATCTGATCCCCAAGGCAATTGGATACTGCTTGGACCTACATTCAACGTGGATATTTATTATTTATTAAAAATAAATATTGAAACCCATTTTGTGTATTTAGCTTTTTTAAGCTACCTGCTAGGTTTGGCTTGAACTAGCTCCTGTTTTTTTACAGCTCATACTGTAAAGGACCCTTTCTGTATGCAGATATTCTACGTCTTTTCCTCAAGGTGCCACTTATCTTTTGTGATGACCTTAAAGTGAAAACTTTGCACCAAGTTTACTAAATGCACCATTTGTGTATTTATACGAGGTGATCCTACCCTCCTTTAATCGACTCTTTTCAAGGGAGAATACATTCAAATCAGTTCATCTTTCCTCCTAGCTGAGCTCCCCCATGCCCTTTAGTCATTTGCAGGGTTATTCACAAAGGGGTGAAGAGTTTGGAGAAGGCAGGAGAAGTGAAAAATGTAGGTCTAGGACAACATAGCTGATTTGGAAAAGTTCCCCAATTCAGCTCACTTTCCAGTTCAGCTATGTTGTCCTAGATTGTTCACTTCTCCTGACGTCTCCAAACTCTTCACCCTTTTGTGAATAACCCCAATAGTCTCCTTTCTCTACACTTTCTCCAGTTCCACAACATGCCTTTTTTAAACTGGTGCTTAGCCTTTATTGCATATTCAGAATGAGGTCTTACTAATGCACTGTACAGGGTAAGATCATATCTCTCTCTGTCTGGAGTCTATACCTCTTTTAATATAAGAATGTATCCTTCCTCGCTCTGGAAGCTTCATATTTTCATTACACGCTGTTATTAATTCTATGATCTACCAGAACACCCACATCTCTCTCCATCTTTAATTCACCCAGTTTTCCTCCCACTAGATTATATGATAAATTCTGATAAAGGTTTGAGCTGTTATGCCAGATCTGCAGAGCATTACACAATTTAATATAACATGTACTATTCTCTGCTGTTTAAGTTATTTAAAGTAAAGGCCCGGCCATTTTGTTAGCTGATTGCAGAAGGGTTAGAACCTTTTATCAGACTTTTATTGCTATCTGTCAGCTCAGGAGATTCATTCTCATGTTTTTGGCTTGAAAACTATTGTCACAAAGATAGGAAGTAAATGATGCTTTGAAATGATTACAGTTGTCATGTGGATAGACGTAGAGGGGATACCTTTCAATTTGGAAGCTTGTTTCATTGGGGGCCTGTGCACACCTGGGCGATCTGCAATCGTGCACAGTACCGTGGGGATTACCGAGCAGTCACGGAGTCGGCCATCACCGTTGATCGCGCTGTGGGCGCCATTGTTTTCCAATTGCGCAGTTTCCAGATGTGCATCGTGTATCGCAAAAAAAGGTACATTTAACTTTTTTCTGCGATTTTGCCGCGCGGATGTACCCCATTGAAATTAATGGGGCCGTGCAGCAATTGCTGTCTGCCATCGTGCACGACCGCTCAATCCCGAGACGCGCATCCTGGATCGCTCAGGTCTGCACAGGCCCTGACAAGTGTCCAAAGATGGAATTTTCTCTTACTTTAGATAGAATTGCTCGCACTTCCAATTGTATCTCTGTGCCCCCGATTAGGTAGAATCATCCTTCCGATCACAGACCGTATTAAAAACCCAACAGAAGTTAGATCGCTTTCCTATTCAAACTAATAAAATTTAAAGATGCAATGAAATTCAGTTCATGGGTGGCTCAGCCGACACCATCAGGCTCGAGAAACTTTGGTTTGAAGCGTGTGGAAAATTGTCGATTGAACAGCAACTGTAGCCAATTGGATGCAGTCACTATTCAGGTATTCTGGAAGCTGCAGATGTCGGCAGGGGAGTTTCTTCCATCTACATTTAATGTAGATGGCGGAATCAAGTTACTTTATTTTGTTCTAGTTCAGATGTGTGGCTAGCTTTACCCAAGGCTGCTTTTCGAGGATGATTCTATTTGTATAAGAAAGGTTGGCCACTATCTCTGCAACATGTATTTAATAGTGGCCTCATAGACTGCATAATGTAGTCCAAAACAAGACATTCCCACATGGAACGGCTGCCATGCTGTACACTTCTGGGTAATGCTTTTGAAGTAATGATAAAATAGAGTAGCAGATGTCATAAGTAAATAAATGTATGAACTGGCCGACTACAGGCAGATACAATTTCCTGCACTTGTCCAGTAGAGTAGGGGATGCCATATGTAACAACAAAAGTTTACATGTATGAACTGGCCTTCTACAGGCGGATACAGTTTCTTGCACTTGCCCAGTAGAGTAGCAAGTGCCATAACTAAATACAGAGGTTCACATGTATGAACTGGCCGCCAACAGACAGATACAATTTGCGGGCTTGCCCAATATGCGTTTTTGATGGGGGAGGCTTATGTGCATGTTAAAAGAAGTTGCTTCATGTGAATGGATTTTTTGCTGACCTAAGTATACCACTCTGTGAAATGTTGGGTGTGTAACAGCTCACACATGCTATACACAAGGACCTGTGTGGAGCCAGTATGTAAATGTGTTGGCAATGTAGGCCTTGATTTTTTTTTCTCTAAGGCCTGGTTCACACCTAGACGATTTGTGGTTGTTGAGCTTTCTTTGCCTAATTTTGCTGTTTAAAAACCGAGCGAAAACCGCACGGTTCTCAATGCATAGAGATGTCTATGGGACCTAAACCGCAACATCCTCCTGAAAATATCTCCTGCAACTGTTTGCGCGACACGCAATAACGCATGCATGACCCAACGCTTAGGTGTGAACTGTCGCCATTGACTTGTATGAGTTTTTGTTTTTTGTACGTTATCGTACGGCTAAATCCGCACAATAAAATACCTAGGTGTGAACCAGGTCTTAAGTGTGTGTCCGATGAAGTTTTGCTGTCTGCACCCTTGTTGCAGATTTTCCCTCTGGTAAAACTTTTGTCAGTAAGATGGATTCTCCTCACTAACAGGGCCCTGGATAGAAGTTCTAATCATGTCCCACTCTATACAAAACTGAAGAATGACGTTTTGGATGGACTTAAGTGAAAATGTGAGCTGTCTGGTGTTGTAAAATAAATGGGCATTTTGTGAAACTGTAGGTGGTTTCTGTCTCAAGACACATGTTGAACTGGTTACATGAGATCAGTTGCTAACATGTTAACTTTTTTTTCTTTTTCCAGCCTCCCTCCTCTAAAAAGCTTGATGGTTCCCGGGCCTACCACAAACTGCCAAATTCCAAGGTGAGATCGGCGTCCGAGAGGCGCACTAAAAAAAAGGGTGATTCAGAAAGCAAGCAGGAGAAGGCCAATCGTATTATATCTGAAGCAATCGCCAAAGCCAAGGAGAGGGGTGAGAGGAACATTCCCCGGGTCATGAGCCCTGACAACTTCCCCAGCATGTCCTCTTCAGAGGGCAAGGAGGAGAAACGTGGACGGAAAGCAAAGTCCAAACCTAAGGATAAAGAAAGCAAGAAAACCAAAGCTGGTCTGACCTCCAAACTGAAAGAAAAGAAGAAGATTGGGTAGGAGTCCCTTTTAGCTTCAATATCTGTTGAGCCATTGGCATTGTTTTGTGGATCATCATCTTGCATTCAGTTGTAAAGCATCAAATTTGGGTTTTCCTGTCACTTAAGCCTTAATGTAATATGGAATCCACCAAAAGGGTACAGTTCAGTGCATGGTGGATGGGCTGCTGGCTTACTTGTGGTCCTACCTTTCCTTAGACTGTACCCTTTGGGATTTTGGATACATCAGAAATCCATGTTCACCAGATTTAAGATTGTATAAAAGTGTTGCACGCCATTTCAAGCTGAACTCCAGCTAACCACTAAATACACAGATTAAATACACAAATAAAGGCAAGGTTTTTTTTTTTACTTGTCAACTTGGTCTAGGTCATGAGATTTTTTAAGTGGAATGGGGAGGAGGTGGAACATCGAGCTGGAAGCCAATTTTAGATTATCGGGAGTAGCGATGAGCATGGGTTCAGTCAAAACTTGAGTTAATCTGATCTCGGAAAGGAAGCTGTCAGTGCAGGCCCAATCAGCTGCTGCCAGGGCATTGCCTGCCCTGCAGCTGCACATAAGGGGGTGGGAAGCTGGGGATATTAATGAGCTTTATATGGACAAATTAGGACAATGTAATTGACCAAATATGAACATATGGCCATATAAAGTGAATGATGTGTCCATTATCCTATCCCTTTGTGTGGCACTGTGGGCCGGAGAGAAGCTGATTGGGCTGGCACTGCCAGCTTTCTTCTGGGTTTGGATGAACTCCAGTTCGGACAGAGCCCTAGCTTATACCTAATCAGGAGGAGCATAAGTGAATGGGAAAAGTAAGCCAACCTGCTTCATTGTTTGCTCCCACTGACATCTGGGGGCTAACCAGCTCACAGGACATACATAAATGGAAAATTGACAGCCAGTTCAACCAAAAATTATTGTGGCTGTTGTCTGATGACATATTTTTAGTCCTTTACACAGTGAGACAGATTGAGGGTGGGTGTAATATTCAAAATGAAGGAGAGAAAGATTCTTGGCAGCTGTTATGTGTAAGAATGATAAAAACAGCTAAATACAAAGGCAAGATTTTTTTTCTGTCTATGTCCCTGTTGCAGATGTTCTCTCACTTCCTGTCTGGGGATGTTGTTTTCAGCAGGACAGGAAGTCGGGTTTCATTTCTTAAGTGGATACCTGGATAGCGATAAAAAGCTGGCAGGTGTTCTAATCCATCCAAAAATAGAAAATGTTTTTTAGCTATACATACACTTTAATAAAATAACCTTTCCTATGACTTCTGTACTTCTGATGAGATCCCAGTTAAAGGAGAACTATGGGGTCAGTGTTTTTCCCCATAGTTCTCCTTAGGTTAACGGGAGGACACAAACTAGCGTCCTCCCGTTACCCTAAGCTCAGTATACCTCGAGCTGCAGCTCGCGGTATACTGAGACGCCGGAGCGGATCATGACTTAGATGACGGGATCCGCCCAGCTGCGTGAGTGACAGCTGGCTCTGCCTATCTAGAGGCAGAGCCAGCTGTACCTGCCCCCTCCCTCGTCCGTTCCGCCAGTCAGCGCTGGCAGATCGGAGCAGGGAGAGGGGAATCCAGCCCCTCCCCTGTCACAGCAGAGAGCCGTGACAGGATCGAGAGGTGAGCGATCCCGGTATGTGTTCGCTCACCTCCGAATCTACTGAGCCGACCTGTGACAGTTTCATTGTCACAGGTCGGCTAGAACTATGAGGTGAGTGAAAAGCACTCACCTCATAGTTCTCCTTTAATGCCGAGGACCCCTAATCTCATCAGATCTCTCTCAGAGCTAACCACTCCGGAATGCACGGTATTTGGTGTGAACAAGCCCTAAACTGATTCATCCAAACAGCCAAAAAAGTTGTGTTGAGTTGTGGGTCCCACCCTAGGATTTTCTGTATATAGTATTTTTCTCAGTGGGGCCTTATGTGGGAACATGAGTTAATTGTTAGTAATAGGTTTTTGGTTTTCATTTTGTTCCATCCTTCTCTTTTTCTCTTTTTTTTTTTTTTCGTCTCTATGGTCAAGAGCCCTGACCCCATTAATTATTAGGGCTCATTTACAGTTGCCCGCCGTTTTAGTGGATGGGCTAGTTTGGTGCTCAAGGCTCTATTCACACATAGCATTTTTAATTCAGCACGTTTTTTTAGCGCGTGGATTTGAATAGAAATTCGTTTTTCCACACGTTTGCAGCTACAACCAGGCTTTTAGGGACATAACGTGCTAAAATCGTTCATGTACTTTTTTGCTGCATTTCAAGTTTTTGTGCGTACGAATGCGCAGGTGTGACTGAGCTCCATAACACTGAATTGCTTTTTGTGTTTTGCGTGTTTCCACACATATGGAGTCATATGTGTCCTACTAAAACCTGATGAAGGGGGCCCGTTGTTTTGTGGCAGTCTGGATCAATAAAGAAGATGGATTATTGACACAAAACATAGGTGTGCTAGGGACATTTATCATATATTCCACACATATGGATATGCGCGGAAAAAACGCTAATGTGTGAATGGAGCCTAAGATCTAGCAGGTGGAGTTTTGGCATATCAAACTTGCTGCTTCTTTCACAGTGCACCGTTCAGTTGCAGAAAAATTCACTGCTTATGGTGTGAAAAAGTTCTTTAGAAAGTTGAATGAACGTTCTGAAAACAAATTTTTGGGAGTTATGAAAAAAAAAAGAAATTCTACTGTTGTATAGTCACCTTTACATATGCTGAGAATATACCTGCCGAGTATATATTGAGTATATACTGCATCTGTAATGAACATGCACAAATAATAAAAAAAAAATGTTAGAAAAATGGGCAAGGAGTTGTGTTTTTTTAGCAATAGAGGCAAACAACATCTTGTATATCAAAATGCCACCGCCCGATTCCCCCCAATCCT